CCCAGAGAGGCTGGAGAGGGGCCCGGCTCAGGATGGGGGTCCCAAGCCAGGCTGCCAGCTGTGCCAGGCAGGTGGGAGCTCTGGCTGGGGTTTGCTTGGAGCCAGGTCCTCCTTCAGCCCCTAGGCTCCCTCCTGTCCTGGGGGTGTTCACAGCCCAGGCCCCACCCAGCTGAAGCGTTTGCTGCCCTGAACAGCACAATGCCTTGCTCTCGTGATGGGTCTGAATTCCAGCTGAGGAATGAGGTGTGATTATCGCTCCCAGACACTCTGACTCATCCCTCACCAGCAATTATCAGGGCTGATTGGTTATGAAACCTGTTCGTTAGCGTGTCTCATGATAATCTGCTTTAATTAGAGGGTCTCTGACTCTGTCTCGCTTGTGGTCGTCAAGATGAATGATTTAGGTCTTGTACTGCGGTGCCCAACCTGACAGCCCTGCTCTGTCCCTGCCTGCCTGGAGATGTGTGACCTCCCAGGCTGGGTACCAGCCCCCCCTGGGCATTCCTGCAGCTCTGAGAGAGACCCCTTCTCCCCACACCTGCTCTGCCAGAGCTCCTGGAAGCTCCTGGGGGTCTCCAGAGACCCTTCCCCAAACCCTGTCCCTCAAACTTCCCCTGCCAGCACTGCAGGACAGGTTGGGCGTCCAGCCTGATGATGCTGCTGCTTTGAAGCAGTGACTGCAGAGAGAGGAAACAGCTGGATTCTGCTCTTCTGGAGCATGTGGCACCTTCCCACGACAGGACTGGAAAAGCACTTGCGGCTCCAGCCCGTGGTGAGCCCCGGGGAGGGAACCCTGTGCCAGGAGTGAACCCCTGCTGATGCTCCTCTCTCTTTGCAGCGGAGGCCACTTCAACCCCGCTGTGTCCCTGGGCGTATGGCTGGTGGGGGGGCTGAACATGACGATGCTCATCCCTTACTGGCTCTCCCAGCTCTGTGGAGGGGTGATAGGAGCCGGCCTGGTAAAGGTATGGACACTGGGGTCCTCTCCACCCAGGGCTGGGATGCAGGGACTCCCCCCCTGCTCTGACAGAGCTGGCCTGACCCCCCCAGCCTGCCACAGCCCCGGGCTCTAAGGCCAGGCTAATTAACTAATTAATAGCTGCAGCTGTTCTCCAGAGGTTTGCTGTGCTACACTAATTAGGCACAGAAGGACACACATGGTCCCCCTGCAGCCCCTGCCGTGTTCTCACACGGCGTTTCCCTGCACTTGTACCTCCGGCACTGCACTCAAGGTCAGTTTAGGTTTGGTGCTGCCCATGCCCACCACGCTGCCAGCACCCACCTGCACCGAGTGGTCTGGCCACTACAACCCCCTGGGTGACTGGGTAAGGCTCATCCCACCGGGAGAGCAGTGCCTGGCTCGTTATCCCAGGAGACATTAAGAGCCTTTCCGATGAGTTGATGTTTGCCAGGCTGGCTTTCAGGAGGCAAGTGCTGAGTTTAGCTCCTCTTTAACCCGCCCGCCCGCCCACGCTGCCCTGACAGTGAGCACATATGCCCGGTAAAGCCACAAATGGAGCGTGGAGGGCACCAACAGGCTCCCCCTGCACAGGCCGTGGCACCGAGCGAGCGCTACGGGAACGCCAGTGGGGGAGCCTTCGGGGGCATCACGGCCGACGAGCAGGTCCCGGCTGTCCTTGTGGGAGAGCTCGTCATGACCACCTTCCTGGTCCTGGTGGTCTGCCTGGGCACCGTCAACGGGAAGACCAAGACCCCCCTGGCACCGTTCTGCATCGGCTTCACCGTCACGGTCGACATCCTGGCAGGGTGAGCTCCTGAGCCCTGTGCCCGTTCCTGCCGGGCAGACGGTGCCATCCAGTGCCACCACTCCGGCAGCTGATGTCACCAGGGAGGGGGTCAGGGTGGGACCGCTGGCTGTGGGGATGGAGCTGGTGCTTGGAGCCCCAGGGGCAGCTCTGAACACCCACAGTCAGGGCTGCCCTGCTCAGCCAGATGAACTGTGCCCCAGGGAGGAGAGTGCCCGTGCCTGGGGTGGGATGGGATGGGACATGCCCTCATGCAGCACAACACAGGCCCTGCTGTCCAGGGAAGCTGAGACAAGCTGGGCACACCAGGAAGGAGTCAAATGAGCCCACTGGGTGCCCTGGCAGTTTTGGGAGAGCCCTGGTGTGCAGCCTGGCCAGGCACAGGGGTGTCTGTCAGCTCATCCCAGCGCGTGGCACCCGAGCTGGCACAGCCATCACAGGCACCAGTGGTGGGTGATAAACCCCAGGCCCCCCTGGGCCATGTTTGCTGTAGGAAGCCCTGAGCAAACAGGAGAGGGTTTATGTCCTTCATGTCCCCATGGCTGCTGGAAGTGCTGCCAAGCTTGCAGCTTTCTCCATGTGTCGGGAGAGCAGCCCAGCTCCGGTGCCTCTGTGATGGGATAATGAGCACGTGCAATTGGGAATTTTAAGGGGGTGTTGGGCTAAGGCAGTGCCCACCTGCTCTAGTGGGACCCCGAGCCCATGTTTACACACAGCACAAACCTCTTGGCAAATATTTATCCCTTGCAGTTTTCTTTAACCTGTAATCGCTTCCATCCCCATCCCCTGCTCAACAACCTGTGCATGGCATGGAGCCTTCCCTGTTTGACAGCCTGACTCCTGGGATGCCCCAAAATAAACTTGGCACTGGTGCTTCTACCTCACTCTGGGTTTTCCCCAGTAACTTCCCAGTGCCATGAGTGAAGGCCAGTGCTGGTGAGCAGCCGCTCCCAGGGCTGGGCTGGTCCCTGGGTGGCAGCTGAGCAGCCACACGAGTCTGGGCTGCCAAGGAAAACCATCCCTATGACCAAGCAGCCGTGCTGGGATGGAACCAGGGTGGTCTGAGCCAGGGGACGGTGCTGGTCCCGTGTCCCTCCACAGTGATGCAGCCACTCTGTTTGCATTCCAGGGGCGGCGTGTCCGGAGCCTGCATGAACCCTGCCCGAGCCTTCGGACCAGCTCTGGTGGCAAACTACTGGGACTATCACTGGGTTTACTGGGTAGGGCCCATGGTCGCTGCCCTCCTGGTCGCTGTGCTGGTGAGGTACGTGGTGCCTGTGGCAGGATGGGGAGTGGGGCCGTGCAGACTGACCCCCTGTACCCCCCGTGCTGCTGCTCTGCTCCCTGCACCGACACTGCAAGCAGACACTTTTCCAGAAAGATGTCCAAGGGCTGGAAAGTCCTTCCTCTTTTCCTTCTCATGAGGACAGGATGACAGCAGAGTTCCAACCTGTGCCCAAATCCCTGTGTTTGCTCCATCCATGTCTTGCGTGGTGAATCCAGCTCCGACTGGTGCTGGGCTGCTGCCATCGCTGTGTCCCTGTTGCTCCCTTGCAATGGCAGAAAGGCTGACCTTGGATTCCTCTCTCTTTTGCCTCCCCAAAGGCTCCTGATGGGTGACCAGAGCACGCGCCTGCTCCTGTGGTGACGCCGAGCACCGGGCCCTGACCTGCTGCGGGTGGGGCTCAGCACAGCCCGTGTGAAACCTCCTGCTCCTGCTCCCTCCTCACCTTCCTGCCTCTCCTCTGCATCTCCCAGGCACCTGTGGCCCAGCGATGGTTCCCCGGACGCTGGAGGGAGGGTGGGACCCCCCCAGCCAAGCCGTGGGTGCCAGGGCTCTGCCATGAGACCAGCTCAGCGTGAGCCCCCTCTGAGCAGCCGCGGTGCCTGTGGTGCCCCAGCCTCCCTCGGCATCACCGTGCACAGTGTCCATCCCCCAGAGGTGTCCCTGAGAATCTCGATGCCAGGGAGCCCTGTGCCCTCTGAGTGAGCACTGCTGCTCCCCACTCAGGTTGTCCAGGATGTTCCAAGCAGCTCCTGCCCCTGGCCTGCCCCGTGCACTCTCCCACAGAGGGGGACATAAGAAGGGAGCTTTGGGGACAGTCTCATCTCTGCCCCTCTGGGCATCAGAAGGATGGGGGTAGGGGGAGTTAAACACCCCCCCAGAGTCAGGGCAGGTCATGCCTCCCCTGTCAGAGGGGGGGCCAGGGGCCGAGGGGGAGGGGGGCTGTTTGGCAGAGGGGGTGCTGCCATAGGCAGGAGCAGCGGCAGAAGGGAAGCGCTGGAGCTGTGTGGGCAGGGGGAGAGGAGCCAGCACAGCAGCTCTGCGTCAGCCGGGCATCCGTCCCCTCCAGCAGCTGCCCTGACTCATCCTGCGGCCTCCCCAGCCTCCCCCGGGGGCTTCACTGGTTCCCCCCCACAGGGGCTTGTTGGGTGGTGAACTGGCACAAGGGTGTCACTGCGAGTACTCCCCGCCCCAGCCAGGACCCCCTCTCTTCCCTGGATTTAGACCCTCTGAATTTTGCAAACATTTCACCCTGGAAATGCCTGTTGCTTTCCCAGCCCCTCCCAGCACGGCTCAGAAGTGCCCTGGGCTGGCCCTGGGGCAGGAGCTGTGCTGGCAGAGCTGTGCCCCCCACCCTGCCCGCGAATGGGGCTGGAGGGCAGGAGGAGGCAGGAGTAGGAGAGGGCCCAGCTGCCCTGAGTGGGGCAATGGCAGCTTCCCCAGGGCAGGAGCTGTGTGCTGGGCTCGGGCTGTTCCCCTCCCCAGCAGTCTGGAGGAAACCCCGGCGTGAGGCAGATGCTTGTCCCTCTCTCCACAGGCAGCTCCTCTCAGCTGCTGTGACAGGGCAGTTCCCAGCTTTCCCCTGTCCCCGTGGGGTTGGCACAGCCCTGCCAATGTCACCTCTCTATTTTCAGCTTGTTTTCTACTTCCCAGCCCAGGAGGTGACCCACACAGGGACACAGACACAAAGATGTGCTCACAGAGGACAATGCTGTAGAGATGCTGGAGCGAGGGAATGCCAGGATTGGAGCATCGCTGGCTCAGAGCTGGGGGGTTGCTGCACCCCTGCCCTGGGCAGCTCTGGGGGCTGGGGGGGCCGTGGGCCCAGGGGCACCCTGGGCCCCAGGTGAGCCCGGGAACCAGCAGCTGCTCACTCAGGAAGGAAAATGATGCAACCCTCAGAAGGAGACAAACAGCATGAAGATGTCACTGGGATGGTTGTCATGGCAACACCACAAAAAATGCCAAACCAAACATGGACCAGAATCACTGTTTCTTCCCCAAAGGGGGCCTGGGGGGAGCAGCTACTGGTGGGAGCTGGTGCTGTGGGGAGTCACCACGGGGACCCCACCTGCCCCTGCTCAGGGTGCAGGTCTGTGGGAGCGGGGCTGAGGCCACTGGGCTGTGACGGGTTCCCCCCTTCCCCTTTCGAGAGGATGCTCAGCCCCTCGGCCCCGCAGGAAACGCGCTTGGCTGCAGCTGCCTCTGCACGGGGGGGCCTCCTGCACCCCCATCCCTCCTGAACTCTGATCCCTCCTGCACCCCCATCCCTCCTGCACCCCCATCCCTCCTGCACCCCCATCCCTCCTGAACTCTGATCCCTCCTGCACCCCCATCCCTCCTGCACCCCCATCCCTCCCGAACTCTGATCCTTCCTGCACCCCCATCCCTCCTGAACTCTGATCCCTCCTGCACCCCCATCCCTCCCGAACTCTGATCCCTCCTGCACCCCCATCCCTCCTGCACCCCCATCCCTCCTGCACCCCAGCTCCATCCTGCACCCCAGCTCTGTCCCTCACCCCATCTCCCTGCTGCACCCCGGTTCCAAGGCACCTCTCCCAGTGGGTGCAGGAGAGGAGGGCTCAGCAGGTCCTCCTTGGGTGGTGATGCTGCTGCCTGTGGTCCCCAGGCAGGGGAGACAGGAGGGGAGACAGGCCCCGAGTGCCCCCCTGTTTGGCTCCTGCTGTGTTCAGCACATTCATCTTTCGTTTGTCAGGGTGACTTTTGATAAAGCATCTGTAACGCCACATTGTTTTTCCTTGAGTATTATTAAAGTGCTTAATATATGCTAATTAAATACCAATTAACTTCCGAGCACTTAATGTGCTTTAAGGACATAAAATACATCTCATTCCCATTCAATTAAATTTGCATCAGGCCTGGACACGGGTCTGCACCATGTTTTTTCGGCACACAGATCTCCTGGGATGTTGCCTGGTGTTTTCCAGGTTCTGGGTGCCTGTTGGGATGGAAATGGCTCCTGTTGGGATGGAGATGCTGCTCGGGAGCAGAGCAGGCACGGGGCCCTGATGCTGTGGGCACTAGTGGAGTCACTAGTGGAGTGGGGCTGTTGAGGACACCAACACTCACCCCCCTCATGACGGAAAGCTGGGAGAGCCCAGGGCACTTCAGAGGGATGCCAAAGGCTCTGCAGACATTGGGCACGTGCTCAGCTGGGCACTGCCAGTCGTGTCTGGCACCAGTGCTTTGGGGACACAGGGAAAAAAATCGAGGTGTGCTCCGGGAGCAGCCTCAGAAGGATGTTTGTGTGCCCCTGTCTCTGCCCCCGCCCTTCCTGCGCTCACACTGCAGCTCTTTCACTCTGGATAAACACCCTGGACAGACAGGGAACAGGGCAGTAAAGGCGTGCTCTCCCTGCGGTCGGGCTCCCCGTGCCAGCCCAGCCACAGGAACGCTCAGGTTCTTGGCCATGGCAGAGGCTCCTGCCAAAGCCCCGGGTCTGTGGCACAGCCACCGCTCTGAGCTGCTCGCCCACAGCACGGCCGGCACCGGCTGAGCCCGACTCGGCTGGTGGCCCTGACTTTGGTTTCTGGTCCCAGTCCAAGCTGGCTCCCGCTCCCCTGTGAGACCCTCGGCCTCACAGCAGCTCTGGGGGGGTTCATGTCCTGCCCTGTGCCCCCACCCGCAGCCGGTCCCTGGTCCCCGGCTGGTGGCCGTGGGCACACGGCTGCTGGCAGCTCCTGGCACTGCAAGTGCTGATGTGTGGCCCGGGAATGTGGGAATGAACGGCTGAGCCTCCCCCCTTCCCCAGGTCTGCTGTGTTGCAGCCCCCCCAGAACAGGGAATTCCTGGCTGGGGAGCTGGGGGCAGCGAGGGGCAGCACTGGATGCTCCCACCCTGGCACAGAGCTGGGCAGGAATCACTCTGTGCCCACGCCCAGGGCAGCACAGCTCAGCCTGCCAGGGGCTGGTCCTGGCGAGCCCAGACACTGGCACACGAGTCCCTTGGCTATGAGGATCCAGCTCCATGGCTGCACCGATGCCCGAGCACCCCTGGTCTCGCCTGCAGGGAGGGACAGTGGGGAGCCAGGGGCTGAAGGAGGGATAACTCTGTGTGTCAGCAACAATCAGGACACGAGGAGGAACCACAGGGCCGGGAGCTGGCCGAGGCTGTCCCTGTGGTGGGGTTGGCTGGGGCCTCACCGGGCCGTGTTCCTGCACAAAAGGCTTTTCATCCGGGCAGAACAACACCCAGCTGTTTCCTGTGCCCGCTGCCTGTCTGCCCTCTCCTGCAGTCTGGAAAGGAGGAGCTCCCAGAGTTTTCCCTTCCAAATCCTTCTCCCAACAGGATTAGGGGGGCTGCCAGTGTATTCCCCCAAAGCCTGGTCTTAAAATAGCGGCATCCCCGAGCAGAGGCAGCACACTGAGGTGCCCAAATGTGGCAGGGTAGGATGGATGAATGCTTTTAGAACATGCCCCATGAGAGCATCTGGGAATTCTCCCGTTGCTCGGCTCTAGAGGTTTTCTGCAGCTGGAGAAATCACAGCCTGAAAAGGAAAGGTGAATGAATCTTTTGAGCCCATTTTGCCCATCGGGCGGATCCGCAGTGGCTGCAGAGGGCAGACCCCGAGCTCATCTCCCAGTGTCTGTGCCAGCCCTCGGAGCTGCCCCAGTGCCACGGGGAGCTCCCGGGGGTGCTCAGCCGGGCCGGGGTGCTGGGGGCTGCGTGGGCAGGGCCGGGGGTGCGGGGACAGCGGAGGTGGGCGCTGACGTGCGGAGCCAGCGCTGCGCGTGAGCTGGCAGCTGCATGTAGGAGCCGGGAGCGAGGGATGGAGGAGTGGGAGTCGGGATGTATTCTGGGGAAGCTTTTACAGCCACGCCATCAGCGGGCACAGGGACAGGGATGGGCTCCTGCCCTCCTGGCCTTGGATGGTGCCCATAGGGTTGAGGACTGTGCCCCCAGACTGGGCATCATCCCTCATGGCTCTGCCACGTCCCTCACCGCTGTGCCATGTCCCCGATGATGTACCATGTCCCTCGACACTGTGAAGTGTCCCTCGACACTGTGACGTGTCCCTCACTGTTATGCTATGTCTCTCATCACAGTGCCACGTCCCTCACTGCTTTGCCATGTCCTTTGCTGCCATGCCAGGGCCCTTGGCACCATGCCACGTCCCCCATCACTGTGCCATGTCCCTCGCCACTGTGCCACCATGCAGCCCCGGAGCACTGTGCCAGCCTCCACTGCTGCATTTGCTCTCCTGCCCCAGCAAGGCCCCCGAGCTGGAGCAGTCCCCCCGCCCATCAGCAGGTATGCAAAGAGCACTAACGAGCCTCCCCACCACATGCAAAGCTCCGGGGCTCCTGCCAGAGACCTGGGCTGTTGCATGGGGTCAGGGAGGG